GCATCGAAGCTAAAAAATGAATTTGTTACCATAACTTATAGTTCAACTTGCAAGTTTGAAATTGACATTATTAAATTGAAAAAAATGAAATTTTTAAGATTAATATGCAATCTGGAAATTTTATAATTACTAATTACAGTACATTTGTCAGAAAAATTCGATTTTTTTACATTTTTATCGTAATAGATAACTGAAATAGAAAGAATAGTAATCATATCCTAATAACTTTTGGTGTTTAAAAAAATTCTGCAATTGAAATATTCAGAACTTAATTAATTTTAATAATTTACTTTAATTAAAAAAACCAATAAAAAAAAAGTAGTTAAAAATATTTACTCAATTGAGCGTATTATCAAAAATATAATTATAATTGTAAAAATCCATCGTTAACTTCAGGTGAAACTAAAAATCATTTTTTTTTTTAATTTATGATTTATATAGCAACATATTACTAAAAAATTTGGCATATTATAGACTGGTAGTAGCACACAGAAATAGANAATTGGCATATTATAGACTAGTAGTAGCACACACAAATAGAGTTCAAAAGTAATAAATTATAAGATAAAATTATTTACTTTTGTAGTTGAATACTTTTATCATATCAAATCTAATTCGACAATAAATACTTTAAGAATATTAAAAATTAATGATTTTAATTGTTTGTATGGACAAATCTAGTTAAGCTACTTTTTATTTGAATAAGGAATATTTTTTTGATTTTTAAGAGTAATAACTTAAACTAATCATTAACTTAAATATNATAAGGAATATTTTTTTGATTATTAAGAGTAATAACTTAAATATTATAAACTTAAATGAATCATTTGACGTATCGTTGAAAAAAGTAGGTCTAGTGAGGGTTGGCAAAATAAATCGTAGCCAGAAAAAGAACCACATAGTAAAATAATATTAACATGAATATCAATTTCTTCTCACGAGGGGAGACTATAGTGATAAGATCCTTTATATTTATTGAAATTATTGAATCTAAATGAGATAAATATCAAATGATTTGAAAATTCTATTCTAACTCAAAAAAAAAATGCAAAATTTTAGAAGCCACAAACGGATTTGAACCTCGTACCCTAGGCGTTAAAGATNAAACGGATACAAACGGATTTGAACCTCGTACCCTAGGCGTGTAAGTCAAGATTACCCATTCGGCAACTGTTCGTTGCTTTTTGTTGCATGATAAAATTGGCTATTTAAGCTAACTCAAATTTAAAAATTACTTTTTCGACTATAAAAAAGTAAAAAAATTTTAATAAGTATAATTTCATATGTCTTATGTACTTTATTCTATGTCAATGATATTATATAATATTCATGAAAGCCAGTTTATTCCCCTAATAAGATATCTTAAAATAAAATAAAATACAAAACCCAGAATTTTAATAAAAAAATAGCATATTTTTGAATACGGTAGCCTTTTGCGCATAGAAGATAGGTCGTCGGGACAAATTTTTTTTTTTCATTTAGTAGTACATAAAATAAGCTTTAATTTGATATATGTTTAAAGGACGCAGTATTTCCGGAACATTTTCAAAAATTAAGTTGAAAAAGTTAGTTTTTGTAAAAAAGTTGCTATTTTAAATCCCCCATGTGAGCAGAATAAGTGTTAGATTTTCAAAAAAAAATGATATCAAATGAAAGAAAATTACCTAAGGTTTCAATATAAAGAAATATTATTTTGATTAGTTAATATTTGAAAAAGTTATGGCAGTTTTAAGTACAAAAAACATTCCGATAGAAGGTGATTTTTATCGTAAACATTACATTTTTTTTATAATTTCGACAGCCATTTGCACATAGAAGATAAGGTGTCGGGACAAATTTTTTTTTTTCATTTTATAGTACATAAAAAAAGCTTTAATTTGATATATGTTTAAAGGACGCAGTATTTCCGGAACATTTTCAAAAGTTCAGTTGAAAAAGTTCTATTTTTTATACAATGTTTCAAAGTTTGAACCCCCCCTATATAAGGGGAAATTGTCTAATTTTAATAAAAAGTATGTCAAATGGAAGATGTACTTATAATGTATTTAGAAAAAAAAAAATTGTGCTGATACATGCATTTTTCGAAAAGTTATAGCATTTTTAAGTTGAAAATTAAAAATTGAAAATCGAAAATTTTAACACAAAAATAGTGTTTTTTTAACTACGGCAACCGTTTACATGCAGAAGATAAAGTGTCGGGACAAATTTTTTTTTTTCATTTTATAGTACATAAAATAAGCTTTAATTTGATATATGTTTAAAGGACGCAGTATTTCCGGAACATTTTCAAAAATTAAGTTGAAAAAGTTAGTTTTTGTAAAAAAGTTGCTATTTTAAATCCCCCCTGTGAGCAGAATAAGTGTTAGATTTTCAAAAAAAAATGATATCAAATGAAAGGAAATTACCTAAGGTTTTAATATAAAGAAATATTATTTTGATTAGTTAATATTTAAAAAAGTTAAGGGAGTTTTAAGTACAAAAAACATTCCGATAGAAGGTGATTTTTATCGTAAACATTACATTTTTTTTATAATTTCGACAGCCATTTGCACATAGAAGATAAGGTGTCGGGACAAATTTTTTTTTTTCATTTTATAGTACATAAAAAAAACTTTAATTTGATATATGTTTAAAGGACGCAGTATTTCCGGAACATTTTCAAAAGTTTAGTTGAAAAAGTTCTATTTTTTATACAATGTTTCAAAGTTTGAACCCCCCCTATATAAAGGGAAATTGTCTAATTTTAATAAAAAGTATGTCAAATGGAAGATGTACTTATAATGTAATTAGAAAATAAAAAATGTGTGCTGATACATACATTTTTCGAAAAGTTATAACATTTTTAAGTTGAAAATTAAAAATCGAAAATCGAACATTTTAACACAAAAATAGTGTTTTTTTAACTACGGCAACCGTTTACATGCAGAAGATAAAGTGTCGGGACAAATTTTTTTTTTTCATTTTATAGTACATAAAATAAGCTTTAATTTGATATATGTTTAAAGGACGCAGTATTTCCGGAACATTTTCAAAAATTAAGTTGAAAAAGTTAGTTTTTGTAAAAAAGTTGCAATTTTAAATCCCCCCCCATGAGCAGGTTAAGTGTTAAATTTTCAAAAAAATTATATCAAATGAAAGGAAAATANTATTAGATTTTTAAAAAAATTATATCAAATGAAAGAAAATTATCTAAAGTTTTAAGTTTCAAAAAAATTATGTTGATTTGTTGATTTTTGAAAAAGTTATAGAAGTTTTAAGAAAAAAAGTGAAAAAAATGACAAAATTTGGTCGATTTTTAAATTTGTAATTTTTTTGGATATTTCCCCCATTTGCGGGGAACGAGGGAAAATTTTTAAATTTTTAAGGGTAATGTCTTCAACTAGATACAATTTGTGATCTTTTGACGTATTGTTAAAAGAAANGGTAATGTCTTCAACTAGATACAATTTGTGATCATTTGACGTATTGTTAAAAGAAAACGGTCCAGTGAGTGCTGAGAAAAAGTGGCAACAGACATAAAAAAAAAAAATCATAGTAAAATTAATACTTTCTCCGCTTTGCATCGAAGCTAAAAAATTTTGTTTTATAAGTAAAAAGAACAAAAAAAAAATGTTAATTTTCTTATTTAATTAACTATTATTTTAATATATATAATCCAGAATATATTTAAATTTAGAATAANTTATTTTAATATATATAATCCAGAATATATTTAAATTTAGAATAATATATTTTAATCATTTTTTATTACTTTGATTATTTTGAATGTTTATCACTTTAATTACTGTATATGAAAGTATAATAATTTTAAAATTTTAGTGAATTATACCCTGATAAAAAACAAGAGTTACTAAAACTTAGAATTCATTTATCTGAAGTAAGTGGTGAGTTAGCACCACTTAAAGCTTGGCTGTGAGAGCTGAGAAAAAGTAGTCACAGACACAAAAAAAAAANAGCACCACTTAAAGCTTGGCTGTGAGAGCTGAGAAAAAGTAGTGACAGACAAAAAAAAAAAATAAAATAAAAAATAAACACATCATGGTAAAATTAATACATTCTCAGCTTCGCATCGAAGCTAAAATATATAATAATTATCGAATAATTTATGTTTATAATATTTTCTCTGAAGTTACTGAATTCAGAAAAATAAGATGCAGAACAAAGACTTTGTGCATTATAATTATAACAAAATAATTTTTAAATTTATTATTTTCTATGAAATTGTGGTTACATCTTGACTAATTCAACGTATAATTTAATAAGTAAAAAATACCGAATAATTTGGGTTTTTAATATTGTCCACGTAGCTGCTCTGTTCCTCTATTTCTTCTATCTCAGATATACTCTGAAAAAGAAATGTATAAAGCAAAAAATCATTCTAATATGATAATGTAGTATAATATGTACGTATTAAAAAAAAAGTTTTGATGTCGCATAATTTCCAAAACATTAAACATTTTATCGAATAAATTCGCTTTGTTTTCAAATATTAAAAAAAAATGTATGCACATGGTATTTTTACAATAATTGTTGCTATGATTCATACATTTTCTAAAAAGTTATACCAGTTTAAGTTTAAAATTAAGTATCGTTGGTACCATATTCCCTACTTTATCTCTGTTATAACAACATTTAGGAAAAGTAATTTCTGTTTTCTTTTTTTTGCACATGTATTGTTCTTGTAATATTTTTTCACTCACAAATTAAAATGAAATATATTTAACAATTTTTTTTGTTGTTCTTTAGTTTTAATAAAAATAATTAATAGAAAGATCCACAAGTAAAAACGTATTGTAATTAGTAGATTTTATTAATCATAATTTTTATAGGCTTATTTTCTATTTGAAGTTGAAAAAGGTAATGGATAACATAACAAAAGCATCATAGTAAAGTTTTTATATTCTCAGCTTTGTATTGGAGTTAAAATAATACATATTTTGTCATTTATGAATGAATGATTGCATGAACAATTAAATTAATAAAATTAAAGAATTATTATTACAATATATTAGAATATTGTTATGTTAAAATAAATTAATAAAAATATATAATAATTATCGAATAATTTATGTTTATAATATTTTCTCTGAAGTTACTGAATTCAGAAAAATAAGATGCAGAACAAAGACTTTGTGCATTATAATTATAACAAAATAATTTTTAAATTTATTATTTTCTATGAAATTGTGGTTACATCTTGACTAATTCAACGTATAATTTAATAAGTAAAAAATACCGAATAATTTGGGTTTTTAATATTGTCCACGTAGCTGCTCTGTTCCTCTATTTCTTCTATCTCAGATATACTCTGAAAAAGAAATGTATAAAGCAAAAAATCATTCTAATATGATAATGTAGTATAATATGTACGTATTAAAAAAAAAGTTTTGATGTCGCATAATTTCCAAAACATTAAACATTTTATCGAATAAATTCGCTTTGTTTTCAAATATTAAAAAAAAATGTATGCACATTAGGGTAGTCCTACGTTATAGAGAGGAATTTTTTTTTTTCAATAAATTAATCAATACAACCCCATCTATTGTTCGAATAGTAAAAAGAAATAAAACCTACCAAATTTGGTCATGATAAATCAACTTTAACACGTGCCACAAGAGGGTTGAAAATCCAGCCTAAGGGGTTGTTTTTCAGTTTTTTGAACTCAACTCAAAATCTATTAAACTTGCAATAAAAGTTAAAAGAATTTAATTTGTAAACCTAAATATTTACTATAAAAAAGATATTTATGTTTTTTCATCAAAAAGTCAATACTTTTCCGTAAAAATTAAAAAAATTATCTTTTTATTTTTTACTGAAATTTTTTTTTTTTTTGTATAAAAATATTTTACCAACTGTTCGTCACATAATAAAATGTTTCATACAAAAGATACTTGAAATTAAATTTGCTAAATTTAAGTTTTTGTACATTTTTTTGTAACTTTAATACTTTTCGTGGCGAGCTGAGTTTTATTAGAAATAATAATGATGCATTATTGGGTCTTATGATAAACAGCAAAATAAAATCGTATTTTTAAAAGTAATTTTCCCTTATTTCGTATTAAAATTAAAAATGTTCAATTTTTAAAAATTTAACGATGGTTGTCTTTACTAAGTTTGATAACTCATTCGTTTTTTTAGGAGAAGTAATATAGCTATATATGATAATGCGTTCTGGTATCTAATTTTGGAGTGAATATCGTAATTACTTATCAACTGAAATATCAATGTACAAATCACGTATAGTACACCATTATATGTATTAACTGTTGGATTTTACAGATTTATCAGAAATAATTTTTTTTATGATTATCTATTGACTTATGTTATTTGACAATAACTGTGAATTACATAATTGAACGTATATTGTTAAATTTTAACAGTACATTTTATATATTTTTTACTTCTTTANTAACAGTGCATTTTATATATTTTTTACTTCTTTAAAAGTTACTGACACCGCAATATTTTTTTTCGTAATGGTTTCAAGATCCAGCTTACGTGAGTCTAAGTGTATCTATTTAATTGGATTTAGTTCTAATCAAATAATAGGTAGTAGATTGCCATCTAATAGGCAACTGTTATCTGTTTTATTTTATAATTTACGGCAAAGTGCTATTTTAGTTATACAAGAAGCAATTATATTTCGGAAGAAAGCTCGTATACCTACAAAGAGCGAATAAAATTGTACTTTTTAATTAGAAGAATTATACGATGAGTGGAGAAACTTGCAAAAATTAGAACATAGAAAAACTGACACACATGCTAAAAAAAATCAGCTTTATTAGTAGCCTCGAAAATTTATTTGATATTGCACATGAAAATGCTTTAGATTTAATTAAAATTGAGGAAGACAAATCATTTTTAATTTTTTCAGCGAGAAAAAGGACGAATCGATTCAATGATTGGCGTTCACTGTATATTTGCAAATACTGAAAAAAATATAGAAAATAGAAGGAAAGAGGCTGATGTTAGGAAAAATTGTGTCCATAAAGAATTAGAAGCTGTCAGTAAGTTAAAATTACATGTACTAAGTAATCGTTAGAAAAGTACTTATGAGTATTTTTTATTTTAGCAAAACTGTACAACTGGAAGAACAAGTTTTGCAATAATTGTTGCTATGATTCATACATTTTTCAAAAAGTTATACCAGTTTAAGTTTAAAAGTAAGTATCGTTGGTACCATATTACCTACTATCATCTCTGCGATTACAACATTTAGGAAAAGTAGTTTCTGTTTTCTTTTTTTTGCACATGTATTGTTCTTGTAATATTTTTTAACACACAAAATAAAAGGAAATATATTTAACAATTTTTTTTGTTGTTCTTTAGTTTTAATAAAAATAATTAATATAAATAGCCACAAGTGGTAACATCGACGAAACCTTTGTTTTTTATTACGTTTTTGACATTACAAATAATATTTTTAATTATGACTGACGAAATTTCCGGTCTCAAAAGTAATATTCAGCATAAGTTTTTGCATTTAAGATACCTTGATTTTGGATATAAAACCCAAAAATTTGGTTTTTATAACTCGTATCGCGAAGTTACAACTTTGCAAATTGTCGATAATGAAATAAACTTACATCACATAGTTGGAGCATTAGATGGCGATGTACTTGTTCATATATCTGACATTCTCGAGAAACCGCCATCAAGCAACAGGTATTTAAAATTATAAGAAGTATTAATTGTACGTCTTTCTGAATTGGAAGAAAAAAAACTTAATAAATTACTTATCGACTTAGAATTAAATGATAAGAAACCATCATATTTACTATACGAATTGTAACAATAGTGTCTGAGGATATTTTAAAAAACCTATGATTCCAACGTCTACACAGTCAAACGCAGGCTATACTCACATCTAGTACTGATTCATTATCTGGACTGACAAGATAAGTGCAGTAAATAATAGTCATTCTGTTGTTTCTGTAACACCAGAAAAACCATGTGAATATAACAAAGATGCTTTACGATCAACACTAGGACAACATATTTTTTCACTTACAACAGCAATTGAGGAACTCATTAGACAAAGTCACAGTCCAAAACGAAACCGCTCTAATCATTATAGAACCAACAGATCAAAACCGCGTGACAATAAAGAAATAAAAAATCAGCCCTGTTATTATTATGCTAAGTTCAAAAAGTAAACAAGAATATGTAAAGGTGAATGGTGCAAAATGCACCTTACCCTTAATAAGTCGGAAAACTAATAAGCTATCTGGTTGAGCCAGTTTTGCACCAATTTCAAACCGCCTATTTGTAACCGATATGTGTAGTAAGATCTGCTATATAGTAAATAGTGATGCTGATATATCAGTTATATCACCCACTAAATTCGAAAAACAACAGAAACTAAAATTATATGCAACTATTGGTTCCTCTATAAGTACATATGGTTCATTAAGCATAAAATTATACCTTGGACTACGTCACCCTTAAAATTTTAGACTATTAATTGATTTAGAAAATGGTAAGTTAATGGGTACCGTATGTGTAGCTCAGGCACTACACTTCTACCTCAAAAAATTCAAGCTATTTTTGACCACAATAAAACCAAAAACAATTAAAGAACTAAGAAAATTTTTTAGGTATGATCAATTTTTACAGACATTTCTTACCAAACATTGTAAAATTTCAAATACCAATATTAAATTACCAAAAAGGGAATAAAAATAATGACAAAACTGAAATTCAGTGGAATGAAGAAAAAGAAAATGCTTTCCAAAATTGTAAAATATCTATAACACAAGCCACCTTATTAGCTCATCCTAAAAGTGCAAATAAATTATGTTTGAAGGTTGATGCTTCAAATTATGCTGTTGGAGGAGTTTTAGAACAAGGTGAGGATAAAATCTAGAATCCATTTTTCTCAAAAAATCTAAGTGGCACCCAACAAAAATATAGCACCTATAATAGAGAGCTGTTTGTTTTATACCTATCAGTTAAGAATTTTAAACATATTGTTAGAGGCTTGTTTAATAGTTGAGGATCTTGGTCAAAACCAAGAATCGGAAGCTACTCGACGTCTGCCCAAATATCGTCCCTATCTCCTTAAATGAGTTTTAATTGCCTGAAGGAGACACAGGCAATCGTGTACCTAGTTTAGATCTTTTTAGTGGTTACTATCAAATTCCTATTAATGATAGTGTAACAAGGACACAAACGGCTTTTATCACCCTTGATGGGTTATGTCAATTTAAACGCATGCCCCTTGGTGTGTCAAACGGCCCATCAAATTTTGCCAAAATTATAGCAACTGCTCTAGGATCTCTATTATTTACTGTAGCCCTTAGAGAGGCAGGCTTGACTTTGAGAATTGATAAGTGTAGGTTTTTTATGACTAAAATAGAGTATTTAGGTTTTGAAGTAAGTAAAAATGGTATAGAACCAGGAAAGAGAAAGACATTAGCTATTGAGAAATTTCCTGTACCAAAAGATGTCCGAGCTGTACGTAGTTTCATAGGTTTAGCGAGCTATTTTCGTAGATTTGTTCGTAATTTTGCTCTTAAGGCACGACCCCTTACAAATTTGTTGAGTAAAAATACTAAATTCGAATGGAGTGGTGAACAACATAATTCTTTCGAAATATTGAAACAATCTATTGTAAAAAAACCAATTCTAAAAACGAATAACACTGAGGCACACACCGACGCTAGTAAAGACGGTATCGGTGCGGTATTATTTCAACGACAATCAGATAATTTATTACACCCGATTAGTTTTTATAGTAGAAAAACAACATGGGAAGAATCAGAATATCATTCATATTGTTAGGGGTTAGTTTAATAATTGAGGATCTTGGTCAAAACCAAGAATCGGAAGCTACTCGACGTCTGCCCAAATATCGTCCCTATCTCCTTAAATGAGTTTTAATTGCCTGAAGGAGACACAGGCAATCGTGTACCTTAGTTACAGGGGATAGATTATTAAATAAAATTAGCCTATTGTTTTATGTCAACGACAAAGTAAAGTTATATTTTAGATGTTTAGTAAATATAAGTTATATGTAATGTACAATACGTTTGACCTGAATCCTAGTACAGTTGGTTAGTAGGTATATCCAAGTGAGACGGAGTTGGTTGGCTATGATGACAATTGGTGATAGACGGGTCGTTAAATAAAACAAGGTAACTTATAAATAATATAAATAAGACGAAAGTAATAATATTGAAAACTATATCTATATCGGCCACTCAAACACAACTGCCCTTTGTTAGTTCGACGTCAGTAGCTCCGGACTACAGACGAGTAGAATTGTCCCATCAGCATCTCCCTGTATGCTAATTAATATGTATTACGAATTAAATAAATAGAAATAAAACGTGTGTAATATAAGTGGTATGAACATAGTAATAAATGTTCTTACAATATGTTGCACGCTAGGCCATTTATAATATGGACTGATCTCAAATCTATAGTGTATGCATTTAACCAAAAGTTAGACAAATGTTTACCTAGACAATTTGAGCATTTAGATTTCATTGCACAATTTACTACTGACATCAGACATATTTATGGAAAAGAAAATATCACTGCTGATTTCCTTTCTAGATTTGGACAAATAAATGTAAAAACAATTAATTTTGAAGAAATTGCAAAAGCACAGAAAGAAAATTCTGAACTAAAAAATTGTATTATGAAGAACACTATTATGAAACTAAGCAAAATAAATTTTCCTCAATCAAATTCTTCCTGTAATATGATATATCAATTGATGCAATCCAACCATACAAACCAGTGACTCATCGTAGACAAGTGTTTAACATTATTCATGGACTATCCCACCATGGAGTCAAAGCAACTACACACTTAATTAAAAGTAAATTTATTTGGCCAAACGTAAATAAAGATANTTATTTGGCCAAACGTTAATAAAGATATTTTATTGTGGATAAAAACATGTATACCATGCTGACAGTCAAAAATTAAAAGACTTGTTATAAGAGCTCCAGAAATTTTTCCAACACTCAGTCAACGTTTCCAAAATATACATATTTATTTATTTATAACATTTTATACAGGAAAAGCCCAAAAATATATAACAGACATCATAAACACCGTTAGAATAAAATCTATTGAGAAACAAATAACAAAAGAAAAATTATATATACATAGAAACAGGATAAATTAAAAAAGAAAACATAAACGCGACTTAATTAAAATAATTTGAATGTTGGATCATTATTAGCCAACCGAATAAAGCAAATCGTTGGGACAGAAAATATAAAATGAGAAGGACTAGTGGGAATGAGGAAAGTAGTGTTAGAACGGGTGGTGCGAAGAGGGATTTTATATCTTAAAAGGCTAAGAATTTTGGATAGAATCTATTTTGTTGGATAGGAGATTATTTATGAAGGAGAGGTTTGAATTGTGGCGTCGATAAGCACGGCTGGAGAGATGTAAGGTTAAGAGGACAGGAGAGTAATCATGAGGAGTGTGAGGGATATTGAAGCGGAATGCTATCAGGTTTAAAAATTTTCTTTGGACCCTTTCTAGTGATGCCCTTGCACAAGTCTTTTGGGGTTTATTTGATTTGATTGGACCCCTCCTACCTTGGAAAGGATGCTTTTATTGTTCGACATGTGTCGTCAGATACACTTGATGACCAGAGGCATATCTTATGCAAGATATAACATCAGGAACGGTTACAAAAGAATGTTTTTCTTACTGGATTGCACGTTTTGGTGTACCAATTAGTTTGGTAACGGATCAAGGTACTCAACTAGAATCTACAGTTTTTAGTAATGTTACAAAGCTGCTTGGAATAAAAAAAATTAGGACAACAGCATTTCACCCTCAATCTAATGGACTTGTGGAACGATTTCATAGACAGTTAAAATCTGCAATTATATGGTATGAGTCAACAAATTGGAATGAGAGTATACACAGTATTTTATTAAGAATGCGTTGCAGTCTGAAAGAAGATATCAAAGTTTCATCAGTTAAGTAAGTATACGGATGCACTTTAAGATTGCCTGGTGAATTTATTACACCTAGTAATGTTAATGAAGACTCAATAACATATGCAGCTAAGCTTCTTCAAAGGTTAAGTTATCTTAGACCTGTACCGACATCAGCGCACGGTAAAAAAAAAATTTTTATTCAAAGATTTAAAGGGTTGTCCCTTTATTTTCTATGGAAAAAATTATGTAAAAAAATCTCATGAAAAACCTTTTGAAGGACATTTCAAGGTAATAGAAAGGGCAGAAAAAACTTTCACATCACAGTTAAGAAGAGGGGAGAAGAAAGTTTCCATCGAAAGACTAAAACCAACCAGCTTACATCGATGCTCCAACCCAGCAACCAATTACTCAACAAAAAACCTCTCAGTTATAAATATTTCCCCTAAAGTGTCAAATAAGGAAAGAATTATCTGAAAGAAAGAAACATCAAAAAATTACTAGATTTGGACGAGCATTGCGATTACTAATAAGATTTAAAGACTGAAGAGATTTTACATTATATAGTTATTGATTATTTTAAATTACTTTTATGTATATATTTAATGAATACAAACACTTAACGTTTTCACTAATGAGAGAGTATGTACCGTTGATACCATATTATCTACCTTCATCCCTGTGATAACATTTTGAAAAAGTAGAATATATTTTCTTTCTTTTACGCATATACTATTCTTGTAACATTTTTCACTCACAAAATAAAAGCAAATATGTTTAACAAATATTTTATGGTGTTCTTTAGTTTAAAAAAAAATAATTAATATAAAGATCCACAAGTATTTATCGTAATTTTTATGGGCTTTTTTCTATTAGAAGTAAAAAGTAACGGAAAATATAACAAAAGCATATAACAAAATATAACAAAATCAAAATATTCTCAGCTTTGTATTGGAGTTAATATAAATATAACATAATTTTATAATAAAAATTGATCATTTGTTAATTAAATAAAATTAAAACTATATTAAAATTATTTTTAATTTAAAAACTAAAAATATTAAACTCAAAAGCCAAAAAAAATTACTGAAAAGTTGCAGATAGGTATTTTGGAAACAATGTTATCATTTACAACGTTAAACTCATACTGACATTGGCATTTATGAATGAAATACACGAACAATTAATTGCATTGTACTACAAAAATTGTTTAATTTATTAATTTCTATGAAATTGTNTGCATTGTACTACAAAAATTGTTTAATTTATTAATTTCTATGAAATTGTCGTTTCATATTACATAATACGTTGTATTATTTAAAAAAAAATAATAATTACCGAATTAGTTGGGTTCATAATATTTTCTCTGAAGCTGCTCGATTCGGCAAAATTAGGTACAAAACAAAGACTTAAAAAAATCATAACAACAATTTTTGAATTCATATTATTAATATATTTTACAATAATATTAATGTTATGAATTGTATAAATTTCGTTTCGTTTGGTAAATGATTAAGAGCGCTTGACTTTAAAGTAAGAACATATACACAGATAATATAAATATATATTTAATTATGTGATACTTACGTCACCACTAACTACATACAAACGTCAAAAGACGAGAACTTATGGTAGCCATATATTTGAACAGTTGGTACTAGATAAAAAGAAAAATAATTCGAATTGTTGGCTACATTTTGTTTAGAAAATTATACTTATTAAAAATATTCAGTGACCCAATTACTATGTTTTACCGAAGAAATAAAAAAAAACACAGCACAGAGGGGTCGTGAAACAGTGGTGACGTAGCATAGTTGAATCAAGTATAATGATATCTGACAGTGATTAAAATCACCATCATAAAAAACGCTTTATTGCAAATCTGTAGATAGTGTTTCATTTAGAGAAATTGGTGGATTATTCCTGTAATGATATACATAGTACATCATTAATATTATAATAAATTATTTGTATACACAATAGATCATTAATGTCATAATGTATTATTTAAGACTTCAATCAATCAATTACACAAAATAAAATGTATACCAATAAAAATAAGATATATATATATACATGTACCTTTTAAATGTTTAAAAATATTAATGAAATTTCGTAGAAAAAGAGTATATATTAATTAGATAAAACAAACAGGAAATAATAAACAATATGTAATGGTAGCACATAAGATGAAGGGTAATAAACTATGTCTAAATTATTATATGAGATATGATTGTATTTTATAATATGTAGATCATTATTGATGAAAATGTAATAAATAACATGTAATAAATTACAATTAATAAAGAAATAACGGTGACGTCGGGGATTACTTCTTGCCTTTGAACTACGGTCAAATTTAATATAAAAAGCCAAAAATAAAGAGCATTCTAAGACAGATGCAATCAGATACTTACAGAGGCACTCACTACGCTCGACCATTCCACACTACGAAACATATGCAAGAAGTGATCCGCCGTCAACACAGTTATATTTGTTCACAAAATACAAAATCTATTTATTTAAGAGTATAGCAGAAATTATCGAGGTAGGAATCTAATAAATTCACCAAAAATAAATAAGGTTTAAAATTAAATATTATGAGTATATAGATTAAGTAGGCATACAGGAAAATCAAGTGATTATCAATAATAATAAATATACCAAGTAAATTTAATAAATCGATAATGTTTGTACAGAGTTACTTGGCAGAGTTATATCGTTGATACGTGTCTATTTCAGGAGTTAGGTTGGAGGTTCATATGTATAGCCACCATACCACTCTGGGTAGACACACGAGGTGACTCAATCCCACCTATCATCGATAACCGTCAAAACTCGTGGCATTATTGATATTTAAGAATTGACAATTAATTATAATAAATCCCATATTAATAAAATAAAGATCACTTTATTTTTCTATCATCTTCTATCTTTCTTACAGACCCTCGTACTCATATCCCGAGTAATAATATTATTAATACAATGAAGTAGTGGATCAAATAAGAATCAAAATCCCGTCATATTCTATTTAACTTATTTCTTTTGAGCAACTGTCAAAGTAGCTCCCTAAATTAATAACCCCCCATAATTATTATATCATAATTAACACATAAAGGATTAAAGTAATTAAAACTATTATTATTATCTTTTTTTGATTCACTACATTCCAAAAGCTACATGATTAGCTAGTTCCTTGTTAAGATAAAGTATTTTAAATAAAGTTTATTTGNGATTAGCTAGTTCCTTGTTAAGATAAAGTATTTTAAATAAAGTTTATTTGTTGTTAGTTATTTGTTGGAGTTGGTTAGCTATGATGACAATTGGCGATAGATGAATCGTTGAATAATATAATTTCTTAACAATATAAATAAGCTACAAGTGATAGTATCAAAAACTATGTCTATAACGGCTACTCAAACACAACTGCTCTTTATTAGTTCGACGTCAGTAGTTTCGGGTTACAGACAAGTAGAATCGTTACATCAGCATCTCCCTTTATGCTTATTAATGTATGACGAATTAAATAATTGAAAATACACGTATATAATATAAATGATAAAAACATAGTTATAAATGTTCTTACAAATAGGATAAGAATACTTCCATGGCCCATCTGCCAGTCGTAAGAGACGACTAATGAGGTTGCGTCAGGTAGACAGCCGGTGTAAAATTTTGTCAAAAAGTATGAGGAGTTTTGAATAAAACTTAGGCGGATTATCTCATTTTAGGTGTACGCGGATACAACAGGCGAGAGCAGATAATGTAGTTGGAGACAGAGAAGGTTTATAAAATAGTGTTTGATATCAGTCGGTCAACTTGTGCGGTAAGTGTTTCACCAGTCATGTGTACAGGTCTACCCAACACTTGTAGTATCGACGGTGTAGGGGCATCATCACTCAACTCTTGGCTGGACTCGTGTATAGGTGAGAAAGATAAATACAAATTAAG